TATCTACATGTTTATTTATCCAAAACAAATAGAAATCTCTCCAGGAAAGAGTATGAACACCACACTGTACATTGTTGTTTTAATTTGTCAAAGAGATTGATGTCCTCACAAAAGCAAACATTGTATGGATCCAATGTCCAAAGATACCGGAACAATCATGGACGTATTTATAGTGTCATCACACTGGAATGTCTCAATCTAGACACGGTACAAGTAGCTTGACCTTTTCCAAGTCACATTGTATTGACAACAGGTTAGTCATTCCTTACCACACGTCAGAAGGAGAACGTAACTTAAGATAGAACAGTATTGTACGGTAACATGAACATGCTTTCTATTCAGCAAAGATGCATTTAACATTTCATAAAGATGTATCTTGCTCCCTCATCACGATTGAGTTCTAAACAATACCAATACTATTTGAGATATAACATACGAAATATTGCAGATGTACATTAACAACATGTCTAAATCGTCTGTGAAGTATATTCTAATTACAAACTACACGGACCATGATATTCACATCGTGTATTCTTTTTGTCATTAGTTTATCGGCATGGTCAACTTTAAAACACGGCAAAGAATAAAATCCCTTGTATTTGATTGTACTACAAAATACATAGACGTTTCGATGTTTGTAAGGGATAGCAAAAAGTCTAGAATACTGCTTAAGAAATGCATGTGAACATTGAGGAATATTTGCATTGCATACATAATGTCATGACGTCACAGATTCTTGCAAGATGCTCTCTCTTATTACGATTTCATATATTCATAAATATCTTCATTTTAGATTGGACTTACGCAGCACCATACATAGGAATTCTAATATCTCGAATCTGTGTTTAATTCGAAGATTTAAGATTGCGAAGTCATGGTTTCGACATAAAGAAATGTTTTTGACATACGTTGTTCTGTTAGGAGACTAAGCAATATTCAAATAAACATCGAAGACTTTTGATATGTCCGATTTGTCTTTATCTGTTTGTAAAAATTGATTTGAATCAAAATCAAAGGGTAGCATTAATGATAATATAAAAATAATGAAATAATGTCTATGTGTGGTTAGTTAGAGTATCCGTTTTAAGATCGGGGGTCCTTGGTTCGAACCCCGTCATCATGTCATTATACTTGAAAAATCATTATCCGTTAGTTCTGAAATAAACCAACTATTACTTGTACTGAACGAACTCAAATTTAGCAAGGATGAAATGTTCATTTTCTTAATGTAATGGTTTCCACTGAGCGTTTATCTCATTAATCTAGCCGTCAATTAAAACCAAAGAGATGATTAAGCTACAGTCATATTATTGACAACGACTTAGGGTATTCCGCCATTTATGTTCATTGGGTCTATATAACCTTTTGCTTCATATCCAGATGTGTCTTGATAATTAAAAGTAAACCAGATATCCCAATATACTCTGTACTAATAAATAACATATACATGTAAACAGACAAACACAAAATTATCTTTAATTGGCCTTATGTCCCCATAATTGGAAAATAGATAAATTTTTATAATTGTGTTCAAACAGGAAAAGTAAACATTCCCATGATTTGCATAATTATTGATAAAATACGACTGTCGGAGGACAGCAGCCAAAAGAGATAAAATCGGGTTTGTGTCTTATTGGGGTCGCTTTGGCATGCAAATGTTCTTATACAGGAAAAGAAATACTAATTTTAAGGTTATGTTCACTTATAAAATGGCGACAGAAACAAAATACTTCAGAAGGAATTTACAGTTTGATGTCGAAGTTTTTCATTTGCAGACTATCTCAACCGTCACATCTACAAACAACATTTTGTTTACACATACATTTTACAGGATGTGTGCAGACAACAACGATACTATGCATATACAAAAAACAAGACACGTCATTGAATTTTTAATTTTAAATTTCAAGCTAACTAGGTCAGTTTTTTCCACACACGATACGCCATGTTGCCAAATCTACATCAATTTACAAGAGGATTACTACAGCATACGTAAAGCGACTGATGTCTGAAGCCGGAAATCAAAACGTTTCTATTCATGCTTAAAGCCCCAGTTTTAATGTGATATTAAAAGGAGTATGGATATTGTGTCATGATATTATCAGAAACACATTGCAATATGTCATGATATTATCAGGAATATATAATTTGTATAATGATATTATCAAGAGTGTATAAATTATATTGTGATATGAAAGATAGAAGATCGAGAACAAAGTTGCATATCAAATCAGAGAAGTAAGGATGATATTATCAGAAGTTATAAACGTCCGTTGATATTATCCAAAACTATACATGTAAGATCTTTACTATCAACAAGAAGAGTATTTCTATCTAAAATGATATTTTGACAGTTCAAAATGTACTTTTTACGAACAGCATTAGAAAGTCAATTTCGAGAGCTCGCCCGAATCATATATTAAAATATCAAAATTATTCGGCGCATATGTCGATATCACAAATAAATTTTTATTCTTTTAAATTAGTCGCATCCGCTAAACACAGAAATGGCTACACAGAGATATCTTGCGAGAAAAAAAAGTATTTCTGAAATATGTTTAAATGGATTAGAGATTACAGCATGAAAACTTTAACAGTCAGGTTACAGCTTAAGATAACGATATAAGACATGAGAAGTAAAGGATATGTATAACATTAAGTATACTTATCACTTAAATAACAACAGTACTTATTTCTGTTTTACGTCTCTAATCCTTGCTTATATCATCAAAAATACTTAAACATCTTCAATGAATTCGAGATTAAATTTATCACACGATGTTACCTTCGGATTTTATCCCCCATCGCCCTATTCTAACATCCATGTAGGAAACACTAGCTGTAAAGTCTTTTCACGCTCAGCGCTTTTGGGATATCTTTTAAAATTACAATAGCATTTTTTCAATAGGCGCTCCGCGTGTATCCAATTTTATATATGTATAATATATATATATGTATATATTTATATACCGAAATATATCTGGTATAGGATTTAATATAATTTTATACCATAGCTTCAAATTATGTTGAGGTTTAAAATGATATATCATGACTGTAGTCCTAAGCTGTGACATTAACATAACTTACTACATGCACAAAACAGATAAGTAATATTTTTAGGAAATATTCTCAGTGCTTACTTAATTATGAGTCAAGACAACGCAAGGAAATTAAACAGATAAAGAAAGCTTGTTTTCAGAGGGAAGAAAAAATAACTTAATTAGATGTATAACTTTGATTCTGCCTGGTTGAAGCAGCATGTGTGTCCTGATAACTTTTTGTCTAATTTTATATTAATTTTAGTCCCCTCCTTTTCCAAGTTTTAGGTATAATTTTATATAATTTTAAATTTTCACAATTTCCGATTGTGGACCAAACTGTATATAAGACTACAGAGTTTTATCATATTAATATCTTGATAAGTAATTCCTGTGAATTTTAACATTAAAAATCTGACCTATTAAAACAGGCCCTCCATAATTTAATAAAGCTTCAGATATGTATGAGTATACATATCTAATTTCCAACATCTGCCGCGAAATATTTTATCAAAGTTGACTTAGATAAAACTAATAAGACATTTTAAAGTTTGAATATATAGATTAAAACGAACTCGTTTTTAATTGTTACTAATTATTCAGAAAAAATTTCCAGTACCTACACGAGATATGACTAAGGAATAAGGATACCTAATATCGCAAAGTCACTATGTTTTGTCAAAAACTGTTTGCAAATCACTTCCACAAGAAGATTTATTACCTCACTCTGGAGAAGAAAAGAAAAGGTTAACATCAGTACAGACGATAGCTTCCTTGATAAGAGGGAACGATTTGAAATGCAATCTTGCACTCCTGTATTCACCGTCAAGTGCCCCCATGGGTTTCAAATTCGCTATTGAAATTAGAAAATGTCTGTTTGAAAAATACAGACACTATGCTCAAAATAATTAACACTTAATAGGCTGGCTTTGATTGCTACTATAACGTCCCTTTTAGATAATACAAACACACTCACATATATGTATTTTCGTGTAAGTATTTTCTAAAGGGATTGAAATATATGATGAATGGTTTACCGTTTACCTGTATAATATATATGTCTAGAAACGTTTAGATTTAAATGTGTATGATATATATGTACAGGTAGGAACAATACGACACATGTACACCTGTCTTTATATACAATAGCTCTTATTAATGTTTAAATATAGATCAATATTGTTAATTATTGTACAGGTATAGAGAAAGAATTTTAAAACGTATTCAAGTATTTATCCTAATTAAGTTATAAAAATAAATGTATTCAATAACTTTGTATATTACTTGTACAGAAATGTTTGCCCCTGCGTGTGTATATGGATCAGCGGGTTCATGCACATTACCACACGAAAACCTGTATTGCAGTGGTCAGTCAAGTGACATATTTCAACCACGTTATATTCAATTATAAATGATTCTGTAGAAATTTTAACAAAGGATTTTATGGATTAAATAATTCAAAAGAATATGAGAAGCTTAAAAGTCTATTTTGACTTTTAACGGGTGTTTATTGTGATAAATACAGGTAAATATTTACCTGTAATTAAGCACAGGTAGACGATCCATAAGGGGCGTTACCTCATATTACTTACTGTCTTGCAAATGAACTTTAAGAAATGTTTCACATTTCAATTTAAGTCAAAATCTGTTTGCTATTTATCATGTTTCCGCGAATAAACATGGTAATATGTATGCACGTGCATTATAATTAGAGCTAAACATACCAAGTTGATGTGAATAATAACGAGTTAAGTTAGTAGCACCTGTGAAATATAACACGACACATGAAATGCTACCTACGACATGTAAACACGGGGATAAGTTGACATTCATACGCTTGTATATACACACTTATTCACACACGTAATAGACAAGATAATATAGGTAGATATAATTTACTTGCACAGGTAAACAGATATACATATACATCACGATTAGAAGTAAATTAATTTAAATACTTACATTCCAGCTCTTAATTCCGCACAAAAGTGCATGGAAATTTTAAATATTATCAACAATAGGGTTCTCCTTGAGATCCATTGGTAATCCATATTCATGATCGGATAATCCCTTGAGTGGAAATGAATTTAAAATTTGAAGAGAACAAATTCAATATTTCTCTTTTTGGAATTTTCACTCCTCTTCTTCCTTCGTGAGAATCCCACGTTATGAAAACACACTACGGACTCCCATGTGGAAAAATCAAAATAACGAAACGACGGATTCCGGGATATATCGAAAGCGGCTCCGCTGTTTAGAAAACACTGATTTTTAAATCCTAGTTGGCTGTGTATTCCAGAGGGACACTGTTGTACAAGGGAGGGACACAATTATATGCACGGTAATCCTTCTGCTCTCACATTATTAACAAATTTGTCATTCCGATACTTGTACAGTAGTGTACATCCAGTTAAGTAAACGTAATCCTAATCCCGAAAATTTCTGATATTTTTTCTTTGATAAAAGACGAAATTATGACGTAGAATCCACCCCTATATATATAGAGAGAGTCTGTATCACTATTACACCTGTGAGAGCTGACACAGGTATACGTTCTGTATACGGAATATACTACTCATGTTGAACAAGATTCTCTCTCACCTGGATCCCAAGGCAGGTGTGTTAGCTATTTAAACTATTTAGTTTTCCATTCAGTAATATGTTGGCTCCTCACTGCACAACTTACATATACACACTACTCAAGCCGTTTACTAAGTACGTACAAAGATTAGAGCGACACTGCTCGTCCTGAACACAGGAGACTACTGAACAAGCGAGGTGCATACACGAGAAGTCCCTAGCGCCTAACGGGGAGGGGGAAAACGCGCGTGTCGTAGTCCGCTCTATACAAATTCAACCGAGTGTAGCCAACCGAACTATCTACCACATCCACCAGTATCCGTATATCCAACAACACAAGCTAGACCCAGTCAATACCCTTTACAAAATCTCATAGATTTTATTAAAAAGAAAAACATAGCTACAGCTGTACACATAATGCAAATCAATGTTAAAAATATTAAAGAGCGTCGTTTGAAAAGGAGAATTAGTGTTGGCGATTTGTCGACTGACCGGCTTGTTAGTTATTAGAATTTTAAAGAAAAGACTTATTATAAAACAGTGAATATCGTATTTGAAATGATTCGGCTCTCTCAGATTGTATCGAAAGTTATTTAAACAAATATGTATATAGAGTATACAATGATATATGGATTATTTTTTTTATTTGAACAACGGTATAAGAAATGAAAAACATATTTCTCACACAAACATATTGATATACTGTTAACATTTTGTCAACTGAAAATAAAATAAATATTATGTTAATACATGTCATATTGGATACATCCTTGAGATTTGATCCTGGCGAACGAGAGTGGTTAATTTGTAATTGTACGCTGTTTTATAAGTGTTTCGAAATAAATATAGTGGTAGTTTAGTAAAAATGATAATATTTAACAAATTTTGATCGCGTGTGGTTATTCGGTGAAGAGGTCTAGCTAATACGCACTAGTGTGTCCTACAGAAAATTTACTTCCGCAAGGATTACTCATCTCCTCATGGGCTTATTTAACAAAATACACTGAACGATATTTTAAAAATGTATATTTGTAATCATTTACAACAAGTTCGAGTGTTTTCTTGTTAAACTTGAACTTTATGATATCAGCTTCCCACTCAGTCGAAAACAAAGGATGTATTTAGATAGTGTGCGTGTTGGTGTTGCAGGAAAATGACGCATGTTCAGGAAGATCAAGCATAATATAGATTTATATATCATAAATAATTCTGAAAAATCCGTGTAGGAGAAAGTAGAAATCACTGTGGCTGATCAATTCTGATTAGTTTAAACAATATATATCGTGCCTTGTTTCTTGTATGCTACAAATTTATACAGAAAGTTTACCAGAAACTCGTTTTCCAGAGCCACAAGTTAAATTTTATACCAGTCAGTAATGTATACCGTTAAAGCATGGTGCAATACCGTTAAAATTGTGCTTAAATAAAAACGTGTGCGTTGGAATTTCAAAATTACCTCATACATGTACACTTACAATTGAATCTCAAAAAAATAAAAAGCATGCTTGTTACCAAATATGCATACCAGAAATCTTTTACAATTTAGCCACACGGAACAATCGGCTTTTTAAATTTCTGGATTAGAAAAAAAATATCAAAGTTCTAACTGTCTGCAACAAATAAAGATTAAAACTTTTAATTTTTTTTTCTCAATATTTCTTCAATTTCACGATACATATCTTAACAAAATATGTATCGCGTGATAAGATAGATAAACATTTACTGACTGTACATCAGTATATCACTCTTATTTTGGACTGTCGGTTGTAATCTCTTTCAAAATCACCGCATATTTTCAGATTATATCTCGAAAAAAAAAATCTCGAAACATTTCTCAAATCGGCATTGTTAAAGGCGCGTGATATCAATTACGATTAAGCGAGTAAAAACTCTAGCTTTTCTTCTAAATTAAAATAAATAGCGTACACAGGGCTGATTGCTGTCGTGAGTGAGGTTGATTTAACCCGCATACAAACATTATACTGAATTAAACAATGCTAATCTCTCAGCTTCCACGGACAAAATTACATTTGTTTTAAAAATGTTTGTGATTTCAAATCGCAGATTTAAGTTTGGACATGGGTTAACTATGAATTATATAATGGTCACATTGATATTTCAGTCTTACATCTCTCTCTCCCTGTTCTCAGACATGAGAAAACAAAAAATAAAGTTATCCTCGGTGGCTTGTATCAGGAACGCGTTAATTGATAATTATGCCACGTATGTAGACATCGTTATGGTATATATTTTACATATCATGGGTTGTATCCTGGTGGTATTATGTCATGTGATTCCTTTTGTTTAGGTACAAAGACAGTGCAAGATGGAGAAGGAGGAGAGGGAAAAAAAAGAAGAAGAAGAGGAGGGCAACAACAGCTATATTACCCATTTATTAGAACGGGAAGAGGAGGAGGAGAGAGAGAAAAAGAAGAGGAGGAGTAGAGAGGGAGAGACAAAGAGGAGGTGAGGGGAGAGGGTGAAAGAGGGAGAGAGGAAGAGAGAGAGAGAGAGCGAGATAAAGAGCAGGGATGGGGGAGGAGGAGGAGGAAGAGGAGGAGGAGGAGGGAGAGAGAGAGAAGAGGAGGAGGAAAAGGAGGAGGAGGGAGAAAGAGAGGAGGAGGAGGAAAAGGAGGAGGAGGGAGGGAGAGAGAGGAGGGAGAGGAGGAGAGAGAGAGGAGGGAGAGGAGGAGAGAGAGGAGAAGGAGAGAGACAATAAGAGGAGGAGGAGAGAGAGAGAAAAAGAGGAGGAGCAGGAGAGAGAGAGAGAAAAAGAGGAGGGTAGGGAAGAGAGGGAGAGAGCAGGGGAAGGAGTAGGAGGATGAGGGAGAGAGAGAGAGAGAAGAGGTGGTGGATAAGAAGGAGGGAGAGAGAGAGAGGAGGAGGATGAGGATGAGAGAGAGTAGAAGGATGAGGATGATGAGGAGAGAAAGAGAGGGAGGAGGAAGGGAGAGAGAAAGAAGAGGAGGAATTGAGCAACAACAGCAACATTAACCTCTTTTTAGAAGGAGAAGGTAACAACAACATTAAAAGCAACAGAACGACAGGAGATGAACAACAACATAATGAACAAAAGTTCAAGGAAAATGGATTCCGGACACAAGTGAATTATCCTGGTAATATACTATAACTGGAAAATACGGCTCGGTTTGATAGACCTTATCTTTAGCTTGATTGATCGAGTGTCAGACTAAAGGTCCTGGGTTCGAATCCTAGCGGGGGCATTAAAATAACATAATGGTCTCCGTGTATACAGAAGAAAACGAAGTAAAAGATAAACATTACATCTTCATAAAAACCCAAAAGAAGGAGAAAGACAACTGAAATTTACCCTAGTGTCAACATTTACCCAAAATGCTTTAGGAGTTTTTGTCCTTGAAATTGACGTATCACAGAGGAATATTGATATTATAGAAGTAGAATTTACTTGAGATTCATAGCGACAATTGTCTTAATATATGGGAACGGGAAATGTGTCTTTCCAACTGTCTAGTGACCTCCACTTTATCGTCCCCTCCCCAACCCAAACTGCTGCCCCTTAAAAACAGAACGAAAATTACGATTGTCTCGTAGTACAAACCGGTAACGAAACCTAGTATGTAATTCATATTACAACACGACCGACATACAACGAATGTGTGCCTTTAAGATAACTAGGCAATAAAACACTATTAAAGGCGGAGGGTCGAGATAAAACACTGTTTCTCAAGTCACAGAAATATCAGTTCGTCTTGGATGATTGAACAGAATCAAACGAATGACTGCAATAAACCAGGTAAGATACGAACCAGAAAATTATCGGCTATGCTTGCCTGGATCTATATAATATCTCGGATGTCAAAATACAGGAAAATGATATTTTTTGTTAAATTAGACAGGACGATGTTTCAGTGCGAATTGATTACGTGAAGTAAGGAGTTTTTAATGTGTAAAATACTTACTATGTTTTAATGGTGTGCTTTAACAGCTGTGTCGGGTTTGATCTAAATGAAATTGGGACTTCAATGATTAAAATGGTTTTATGTGGGTAATATAAGATACAGGTGCGTGTATTTAATGTCTTTTTCTATTTATCGCCCGGACATTCAATAAGTTAAATAACGTTATTGAATAATGAACATAAACTATGCAAACATGTTTACTCAGTGTAGGTTTTGATATTTAGGGAGTTATATTAAATATTAGACGGATTTGTTATTTTTATGTAAAAGATATGTTTGAATTTACATGTATATTGTATATTGTATACACAATGTATTGAAAGATATGCCCATGGAATTTAACATGTGTAAGAAAAATGTATTTTGTACGGATCAATTTTCAAATTAAGGTGATATAATTTGTCAAAAAATGAAAAAAGCAGTTCAATGTCGGTTTATATTTTCAATTATTATTTATTAAAGCGGTAAAATTAAATTTCAATTTTCCATATCCACAATAGGGATCACGTGCCGATAGTAATGTTCCCATCAGAACACAAAATGGCAACAATCGGTAAAGTGTTCGGACGAACGGACAGTCATTATATATCACAGTCGTTTCCGCTAGTTCCGGAAGTTCTAAGGCTTTTTGTCCATAACGGATTTACAGACGACACACTGTTCGTTAAAGGAAAGCTTGTAAGTGTGAATTCAATTCCGAATAAAAACACAAATTTATCTATTTTTCATTTTCTTTTCTCAAGGTTATCCCAGTGATAAAAACCAGAATAGCCTTCAAATGATAATCCTATAATAGAACACATCTGTGTGAGTTGGCTAAATGTTAGTCTGAAGTTTTACATCCATTTGTAACATCAAA